ACATTTAAAGGTCACTATAATCTCCTTTAGCCGAATGTTTATGGTTTTGTTCAGAATGCCAGGCGAGGCCTTGAAGGCAGACAAGCGTTTAAGGTGTAATCCTCGTGGAAAAGGCACTTTGAGGAACGCGTTTAGCAGCGGGAGTTTAATTTTCTAGGAACATGTTCTGCGTTTACATGTGTTTTCATTATTAATAAAACCAGAGCCGGTTTGGAAACAGGCGGCCCGACTCCGCCAATCTGCCCAGGTTTTCATAAACCACCTGGGAGTTGATGTGGAGCAAAATCCTCACCCTCGGAGTGACACACATAACAGCGACATGGTTAAGTGTGTGTGTGTGTTTGTGTGTGTTAGGGGGAGGAAGGGAGAGCAAGCGAGAGAGAGAGAGAGCGAGGGGAGGATGCTATTGTGTGAGAATGTGAATTAGGTCAAATGTTTGCTTGCAAAGATTAACCATGCCCCTGTGAGGAAGAAGGCTGAAGCCTGCATGTGCAACTCGGGTCTGGTGTTTACAGCGCTGCCTCTCAAGCAAACACCGCCGACACAAATGTAACAGTTCAAATATTAAAGCTACTCCTCGGACTTTTCCACAAAATCAGTTAAACTCACCTCAGACTTTAGTTTGTCACCTATAAACAAACCTGGGTTTCCATCACGAATGTCTGCAAAATCTTTGTCTATGTTCTGCTAATGCTGGAAAAATACACTTTTGTCATTTCAATGTTTCCATCGAAGTAGAAATAAATGAAAAGCACATGTGAATACGCTTGCTCATGCAATTAGTCAATAAAAAAAACACACCAGTGATGATTGTAAACAGTTCATAATTTAAAGAGACAGCGGCGTCTTTTTCAGGCGTTGCGACAAGCCCCGCCTACTTGGGAGCTGCTACATATGTAGCATTTTGTCGATTTAACAGAAGAGCTTTGGATTTAAAATGTTTAAATGACAACTTCGTTATGAACTGTGTGATGCAGGGAGAGCTCTGGAGCCAGCTGTCCAAAAAAACAAAAACAACCTTCATCCTCCTTCATCGCTTCCGCCATTGACCATCCGACTGCTCATCACGTGACTGGGGGGGATGCGAAAAAAAGTGTTTCCATTTAAGTTTTACCAATTAAACCAATTTTGATGCTGCCAAAAAAAAAAAAAAACAGTTCATCATAGCGGAAATCTTTGATCACAAACCGTGAGTTTTTTCGCTGTGTTCTCAGCAAGCAAATTTATTTTTGAAATGTCAAATTGGGCAATTAACAAAAACACAGCTATGGTTAAATTTTTTGTTTCTTAACAAGTTACAGATTTTTTGCAAATCAGTAACTGCGTTTTCATTACAAATGTGCACAAAGACTTTGATATTTCGCTAATGTTTAGAAAAGGCAATTTTGTAATTGCATTATTTTCATTAAATAAAAACCCAATTAAAATCACATGTGAATAAGATTTTTCAGGCAAAAAGTCAGTAAAAAGCAAGACATGCCATGATGCTGTAACCACTTCCTGTCGTCTTCTCTTACGTTTCAGCCAGTAGTAACATCCTGCTATTGATCACATGACTTTTGCCACTTTTTGTGATGCAAAAAAAGTGCTTCTGTTGAAGTTTTGCAAAATACAATAGACTTTTGGCATATTGACAGAAAGGTTATTAACACGAGTCTATTGTAGACTCATAGTCATGTTAGCTGACGCTAGTTCTCATTGTCAGCTCTGTATGGCTCCTTGCAACGCACAAAGGGATCCCCACCAAAGTCCAAAGCAGGATGGATCCATGTTTTTACGTTATTTACTCCAAAATCTGACACTACTCCATTTTTGTTTAGATTTTGCGAAGAAGGAAGTTGCGTTTCTTCATGAAGAACCTCTGATGTCTTCTTCAGAGGCTTTCAGGTAATTTCCTTCAGTAGTTCTTGATGCAACCCCATCACAGGGGGAAGTGAGGAACAGGTTTTACAATTAATTCGGTTCATTTGACACAGTGCAGGCCGAAAATGAACCACAGCAGATCAAAATGTAACAATTGTTGCAAATTTGGTTTTCAATAGAACTGAGTATACAAGGACTATGAATTATGAAAACTCCCATAGGTCTCGGTTTGGTTGAATGAACTCTGTTGCTGTTCAAATGGATGTGTGGATGCAAGAAGGCTGGAGAAAGCTCCAAAAGCAGGAAGTGGACCACAGCGCAGGGCATTCTGGGTAAATACAACCGAAAGAAACACGCATATCTACTTTTTTCTTTTTTCTTTCACCAAAGAGGAACAAGAAATCCTACATCCGCTAAAATCTGATGCTACTCCATTTTTGTTTATGTTGTTTAGATTTTTGTGCTTTTCATTCAGGTTTTTGATGCAGCGCCACCGCAGGCGTGGAGGGGAACAGATTTTTCAGTGTGAAAGCAAAACAAAGCATTTGAACATGTAATAAATGTTAGAATCTGTATCACCAATCAACAGACAATCAGGTGTGGAAACACTGGAAATTTTAACTACATTTTCAGTCAGAACTTGTGTCCTACCAACCCCCCTGCTGGGTGTGTGTCTTCCTTTTTTCTTCATTTGCTAAAATAAAGATGTTCAAGCATGAAGGGCTTCTCTGTGTGTGCGTGTCCAGGGAGGCTAGCTCATGATGGTAACAGCTCAGCAGGCATCAATCACACTCAGCCTGTTGGCTGGCCGGCTCGCCGCGCCTCTGGGCTCAAGCTGCAGCAATGCTGCTGACAACAGGTAACAAACCAGCACTCCACTGATGCCGACTGACACCGACCTCCATGCAAGGGGATTTTTGTTTTTTATCTTGTCTCTGGGTGCAGGTAGAAGCTAAAAAAAAAAAAAAAAGAAAAGAAAATCCATTATGATGCAGTGCTTATTTTCAGGGTTTTGCTTCACTGAGCCTGGAGCCCGGTTCCCTTTTCTGCCTCCTTTAATCATCAAAGCGTTTCCGATTAATTTCCAGATCAAAGTGAGGATGCTGTGTCCCCGAGGTCAGCTGGTAACTAACGCGACAAAGCCAGATTCCCCTCCACACCCCCTATTAATCAGCCACGATGGGGGTGAGGGAGGAAAGCTAAAGGAGGGTCCAACGTTAATGATCTTTATTTGCTCCACATTCAAACACACACAGGAAAAAAAAGGATCGCCAGATCGCCTCCGTCTCATTAAAACACAATGAAGTTCTCAGATGAATGAGCTTTAAAGCCCAAAATAAAGAGGCGATGCGGTGATGCTGAGGCGGCTGCGCACGTGTGTTTGTGTTGGATGGAGGAAACACAAAGAGACGAAGCTTATATTTCCTAGAAGAATAAAAGATGCTTATCGAGCTGAATCTATATGTACATGAATGACCCCCCTCTCCTCCTCTTCCTCCTCCTCCTCCTCCCTCCAGCCTGTCACACTCTGCTTTGCGCTATAGCAGCCCCCCGTACTCACTCAGCTCAGAGGTTTGGAGAGGCGCAGCATCGGCTCCGGTCGCTTCCTTCAGGTTCTGCTTCCCCTCGGACTGACTCAAGCTCCCTGCGAGCATAATGATCCCCAGACCTTCTTCAGGGGCTTCACAGAGCGGGGATGCAGCGCACTTCATGTGGCATCCTGTCCGCGCAGCCCCAGCCAAGAGGGGAGGCTGAGAAGAGCTCAACCTGCGCGTCCGCGTCCCCCCCCACCCACCCCCTTTATCCTTATCCTTATCTGATGATGATGCTGCTGCTGATGATGATGCGACTCCAAAATTATCTCCGACTGCCACGTTTCAGCTCCTCGGTCCCTTAAGCCCCCTCCATCTCAGCTCGCATCCCCTCAGCTCGGCTACCGCGCTTCCATGTGACACAGGCAGAGCTGGAGACCCCCCAATTATTAACCTGGCTTTTCGGTCCCAGCGCCCCCTCCCGGCAAGATGGGGAAGTGCAATTAGAGGACTAATGAATGGGTTGGAAAGGGAATGGTTCAGATTATTTGAAGTGCTGAAACGATTATTATTTATCAGTCGATTAATCGTTAACTGGAGTTTAAAAACTCAAAAACATGCTGAAAGAACAACCTACTCAGAACATCAATTATGCCAAAACTCTACTAAAAAAATTCAATTTTGCATTCTAAAGGGATTTATTATAAACAATTTTCATTTTTCACATCTTTGTTTTTCCAATAGGGTCTCAACTGCTTCTGAAAACAGCTCAAGTTTTTTTTTAAACCCACACACATCCAGTTTTTGTCAATAAGTTTATGTTTATGGCTGGACAAAGAGCTGTTTCCAAATCCTCCCGATTGTTGAGTCACATTCCGTTACCTAGCAACCCCAGCCAAGCCCAGCCCATTACTTGGCAACTCCAGCTGAATTCCAGTACATTTGGTCAGCTGGTTTTACTCTGTATGAGCTGTACACTCTTAAAAAAAAGTCTCTAATTTACTCTAAAATGGTGGCTGCTGTGGTTGCCAAAATTTTACAATATTTATGCAGTAAAATTTACTGTAAATTACTCACTTTTTTTACAGTGTACAATGGCTGCTGGAAAGGACAAGGGTTTTGTTATCGACTTTCCATCCAAAAAGCACCTACTGGGTAATTGTTGATTATACAGGAGGCTCTACTAATGCTTTTCAAAAATGTACGGTTGCATTACGACTCATTTGTTTGCAGCCATTTTGACGTTTAAAAAGTGCGAGTGTAAACATCGAGTTTACAGCGCCAGTTTATTTGCATAAAAGTGACAGAGCTCTAAATTATGAAAGGAATTTCTTTTTCTAATACTAATTTTATGTAATGAACATATATCTTGTATAACACATAGACTTATCCTAATTTGCTTAAAAAGAAGGGAAGAATAATAGGTTCCCTTTAATGCTGCTGCTCTGGAGTTATTTAGTCTGAAATACAACAATGTTTACAGTTAAATATCAATCAAAACACCTGAAATATTGCTATATATTTTTAAAATATTTGGTTGGAAGCAGAAAAGTAAAAGCACAGAGTCCAAAATAAATTAAAAGTATCATTTAATTATAACAGGAAGTTTGACGTCTTTGACTCCTGCACACTGAAACTCAAATCCTGCGTAAAAACCCACAGTTTGTTTGTGACCTGCAGGTGTGTTTCTTTTGACCTAGTTTGGTTTTTTAACACCTTTGAAGCCTTCAGCTCCACCACTGTCCCCACCTGCTGGAGTCTTCAGAGCACTGAGGATGAGGAGCCACCTATCAGAAGGCAGCGGACGGTGTTGCTGTATGAGGGCCGATCCATGCCGCGCTCAGAAACAAACAGAGAGGTCTTTTGAAGGTCTGGAATCCAGTGTCCTGCCAAGAAAGCACTGCTGATCAGGTTAGGACAGAGTTATTGGCTGCACAAAACACGTTCATCACATTTCTTTTCACAAAATCATTGAGGTTAATTTCAAGCTCCTTTCAGAATAAGATAGTTTGTTTTGTCACATCAAATTTTACTGTCCACAGTCCAAGGATTGTCCAGCTGTTGCTCCTTTTGTCTGATCACCCTCTGGACATGCCCCACCCATGCACTAAGTAAAAAACAACTCACTGAGCAAGTTGGAATAAAACTTAAACACAAATCAAGAGAATTATTACTCACAATAAAATCCCCATTGACAGTTGTTAACTCCACATGGCAGCAATAACTTGACATGGGGCGTTTATATTTTTGTTTAGTTGCAACCCAACTCTGATAAGTCCACTACAGAACATGTTGAAGTTCCTCCTCAGTGGGGCACGAATCACCCGTCATACTTCCCCTCCCCCTGCTCCATGGAGGGACAGCCTCCTGTGTTTTCCTCCAGAGGCTGAACCGCGCTGTGTGCGTCTGGTCATGGACTCACCATTCAGAAAGCTCGGCGCTTGTGCCTGAGGAGAATTGGAAATCCGCTATTCTTCTGATCGGAGAGGAGGAAGATGGGCTGCTGCTCCGGAAGATGCATGCTGGTCCTGCTGTGCTGCGTGCAGCTGGTGAGAGGTTTTAATTTTTCATGCTGCATCATAAACACGTCACACCAGCTGTTGCTTGTTTACTTTATGTTTGTAAAGCTGCATATAAGAAAATAACTACAAAATCTACATCAGAATGTCATTATTGTGCAATTAGATGTGCAGCTTTTTGCACTGCAAAAGCACAAACTCATATCAAGTGTTTTTTAGTCTGGTAAATCACTGTTATTCTAATAGAAATATTTTTTAAATAAGACAAAAGAAACTTTTCAACAAAAGTAACTTTTTTAAAGTCAGTTCTTTCTTAATAGTGATTGAAAAAAAAAACATTTAAATTTTTACAAGACATTTTTTCCATAATCTGCCAGAGGAACTAATACGTTTTAAAATCAATATTGAGGAATCATTGACTTGAAATAAGATATAGCTTCCTGAAAAGTTACTTCTGAGTTAGTTTTGTCTTATTTCAAATGTATTAAGATCCTTAGAAACTGGAAAATACTTAGTAAGATTTTGAGTTTTTGCAGTTACTGACACTTTGTAAAAAATTCAACTTAAGCACCTGCTGATTATTTTTAATAAAGCTTTACTAGAAAATCTTGAGTTCACAACAGAGACGCTGTCAGATTTAAGTTAATATACTAGAAACAATAGAGTTTTCCAACAAATTAAATCTACGTTGCTAAAACGTTATCTGGAAAACTTATTAGATGTTACTGGTTTGAATATAACAATGTACTGGTTTGCATGGTGTCCTAGAAAAATGTAACATCTTTTAAGAGTGCACTTTTCAGTTTTATAAAGGTTATGAAAAAAACATTCCAGAAATTAAGCATAATGAATAAAATAATATTCAAGTAAAACAACAATAAAATATCACAGAAAATGTAGAAATAGATGTGAAGAATATAATACATTAAAATAATACATTATTAATATAAAGAAATGCATAAAACATCAGTTTAATTTACATTTGTATGTAAAGTAGAGGGAAAATAATGACTTGAGAATAGTAATAGTAAAGTATTGAGATTAAACTGAAAGTAATGTTGAAAATTTCTACAACAGTTAAAATTAAATATAAATAATTGGAAATAATTTGAAAATAATGTTGAAGACTGGAAATCAAATGTTTTTTTTTAATTAGTTTTCTTTCCATACATAGTTTGGAATAATATTGTATTATTACAAGATTATCTAAAATGGCAATATTGATTTGTTTTTATTTCTACTTTGTGCAAATGTCAGTCATTTTACCCCAGTTTTAGTTCATCTATCAACATATTTCTAAAACTGTTTTTAGAAATATATTTAGAAAAGTCCTTTTGAAATAATAAAAACAGAAATTTGAAATGAAAACACTGGAAAAAATAAATAAAATAGTTCCAGTGAAAGCTACAACCACCAGGTTTGTTGTGTTTGGCTGAAATCAGGTTCAATAAAACCTGCTTATTAGTTGAGTTTTATCTGCTCCCTATAATAAATTATTAAAAAGCAGAGGTGGCCTAAGACGATAAAATCCCGGTTTCCCACCCTGCCCCCATGTGACCTCAAAGGACACCCCCCTCCCCTGGTGACCGGGTTGCCATGACAACACACACACACACACACACACACACACACACACACACACACACACACCACACACACACACACACACACACACACACACACACACACACACAAAAGTGACAGTAATGATGATGGGGTGCAGCAGCCGCACATTTTGTTTTTGGTCAAGTCTGTTGTCTCTAATGAGTGTTGGGTAGTAACTAGTTACATTGACCTGAGTGAAATTTTTGGACACTCTAGTGCACTGCAAAAACAAAATCGCTGAGTATTTTTACATTTAGTTTCTAGTGCAAATAACTTACACTTGAAACAAAACAAATCTAACTTAAAAGTAACATTTCAGCTTGTTTTAAGTCAATAATTCCTAACAATCATTTTTAAAAAGTATAGTTGATTATTTCCATTATAACACGGAAATAATCCATGTTATAATGGATATTTTTTTCCCCCCAAAATATAGTAAAACTATCAACATTAATTTTTTTTTTACTTCAAACAAACTTGTATATCTTGCTGAAAAGTTACTTATATATATATTTTACAACTATGAGTTTTAATCTCAGAAAATTAAGGCAATATTTTTGAGGATACTCAGAATTATGACTTTAACCTCAAAATACAGATTGTTTTATCCCTCAAAATTCTGAATTCTGAGTTTTAATCTCACTAGATTATTCCCGGACAGGAACATCTGTTCAAAGATGCTGAAAAGAATCCAGACAGAAAAGGACCTTTGAGATCCAATCATCATCTTCATCATCTTAATTTTGGTTGTGAAACTTGTGATCAAGGCAGGGACTTAAAAATGTGTCACGGACATAATTTTCCAGTTTAAGAATCAGATTGGGTCCTAATATATGTGTCTTTTCGTCTGTATCATATTAAAGATGAGTTCGATGAAAGCTCCTTTTTAAATGAAATCTCAGTTTTTCCCAATATTGAATGTACTGCATATTAGTTACCGCTAGGGGGCGCATAGACGCTTTCTAACCTCAAATCGGTAAAATGAAGAAGGTGAATCATTTCTCTAGAAACATTTCATTAAAAAAGGGTTGAGCTAAATGCACCATTTCTTATTGGACATCTCAACATTTCATTTTTGTTGTGAAAAACAAAAACAGCATAAAAATATGTGATTAACAGTAAAGTAATAAAATTAAGCATTTTTGGCTTCTGTTTCTGTATACTGTGGCTAACTTATAGAGAATGAGCTGTAAAAATTGTTATGTGAATTAATAAAAGTTCTATCTAGCATATGACCGGTCCAAAACAGTTCCAACAGAATAAAGTCAAATAATGTATCTGTAATATGTTTGAATTATAATTTGTGGGTTAGATTTTGAAGGGACTGTTTTAAATGTATTGCCCCATTTTTGTTTAGTTCACTAAATGAACTGATTGGGGAAAAGTGTTGTGATTGTTTTTAATGGACTTTTCATTGTTTCTTCTTGCTGATTCTGTTCTTTTGTTTTCTGCACTTCAAGAATGTGAAACCAGCTAACCTGGAGTATATGGTTTTTATTTTTGAGTTATTTGTTGCTTAAAAATATTAAAATTTGCACCTAAATATGATTTAATTGTCCTTAGTTTCACCTCCATGGTTTTTATTTGTGTCATAATAATTCACCTGGATTTCACATTAAATCACAACTGGTTATGGTCTGTTTGAGGTTTTGTGTATTTCTTTAAAATTTGTGTTATATTTCTCAATTCTTTATTTAACATTTCTAAGTTTTAAAGTTTCTTTTCCAAAATGGCGGGAAAAATGAAACACAAAATATGGCAGAAGTTTTGCCACCTATTCTGATCCAGATTCTGGAAAGCAAATTTTGAGGAACATCAAAACTCTCATCATGTCTGACTTTAAGGGGATTTTGGTGAACAGCTAACATTAGTCATTAATTTGAGTCATTATCTATTTGTATTCCTCCTCAATGCTTGCAGTGTAATTATTGTAACCAATATACTATAACATCATACAGACAACAGCCACTATATGCTTTTCATCTTCTGATTGGATGTTTCAGTAAAGTCCGATCAAAAAGTTATTTGTTCTTGAAAACTTTGTTTTCATATGTAACAAAGTATTTCCAATGTTTTTGTTTGAAATTAGATTATCTTTTCCATGATATAAAAGAAAAATTCCCCCTGAAAGAAGATATAAAATAAAAATACCCCAAATTAAAAATACATACAAGTCTATTCAGTAGGAATTTAGGCATTAACAACTTTTAATTCCTTCTAGATGTGGTGCTGTAGTATTCTGCCTGGGTCAGACTGTAGAAAAGGTTTACAGCAGACCAAAAACTTTAAAAAATATATGTATATATGTTTTTTTTTAATGAATACGTATTTTACATTGCACTTATATGAAACTCATAGATTGATATGAGATAAATTATATAAATATTTTTGGAATTTTTATAAACATAAGCAATGTAATATGTATGCAAATATATACACATGCATGTACATATGTATATATATTTAAATGTATGTGACTATATATACATCTACGAAATATATATGCATATTTATATAACTGGTTATATGTAAATAGTTATTTACTTAACTACATTGAAATATTTATTTAAATAGTTAACAATTCAAGCATTCTAATAAGTAACTTTGTATAAATGTATATATGGTTAAATACTTATATCACTATTTCAACAACAATGTTTTCGTCATTTATTATTTCATATACATTTTTAAATTGCGGTAAGCACTTTTACAAACTAAATCTGCCTTCAATCGACGTCTTTGATTTTGCCATTGCGCAGTCACGTGACCCAGCTACGTCATTTCCGCTCCTCAGGCACTGGAAGAAGCTGCTGTTTTGGGTCCAAATGAGCTGCGAGGCCGCCGGGGCTGCTCTAGTTTAGCTTGGAGGGGCTCGGAGCGGACTGAAGCCCGGCTGGATTAATGCGGACAGGGCGGCGCGACCTGCCAGCAGGGCCACGACAAGCGCAGGCGAGCCGAGTCGACAGTCCGGCTAACAGCCGCTGCTAGCAAGGCAGAGAAAAAAAAGCCTCTCCGTTGCTCTCACACCGCTCGTCCTGTCGGGGCTCCATTCCAACACAACACCTGGTGGATGAATGATGTCTGCCGCTAGCATAGACCCTCAGGTGAGCGGCGAAAATGTTTCAGAGCTGAACTGAGCCGCGAAGCCGGAGCTAGGAAGTTAGTTAGCCCAGAGAGAGGAGAGGTTAGCTGCTAAAATCATCTGCTGGGAACCCACCAAGGCCTGGACCACAGCTTCCAGTTGCCATCTGACTCCTCAACACTGCTTAACATTCCTGCCAGAATCCATCTTAAAATGCGCGCATTAAACTAAAGCATGCTGCATGTGCAAACATGACCGAAACATGACGTGTTTGTGTTCTCTCTCTTTAATGTTACCGTGAAGACATCGAAAGGACAAGATGCAAGCAAAGGTAAGAGATTAATGTTCTCCAGGCGTTAATCTATGTAAATATGAAAACACACACACACCTGCCTCCCTACCAGGTAGATTTAAAATAAAGGCGGTCATTGTGTTGATGATTGACAACACACCAGAATAATCTACAACATGAACCTGTGACGTAAACAGAGCTGGGTAGTTGCATTTACTTGAATAACTTTTTTAAAATTACTTTTAGGAGTCGTTTCACTGTGCTGCACTTTTTACTTTTACTTAAGTAATTTTTTTCTACGTTTTTTTTACTTTTACTTGAGTAAAATTTATGGATTTTCTTCCCAGTGAATGAAGAACAGGCATATTTTAACCAGAAATTTACCAGATGCAGTTTTTGGTCACAGTTTTATATTGAAAGAAATTGATTTAGGAAAAAAATTTGCCTGGTTTTGTTATAGTTTATCAGAAATATTGTAATTTTTCTAAAATATAAATTCCCAAATTTTCACTTTATAATTTGATCAATCTAATTATTTATTTTTTTAAATATTAAATTATTGATAATTTGATCAATTGCTCAGCAGCTTTTTACCAAATACTTTTTTCCAAATATGTTGAAGTAGTTCAACTCTCAAGTAAAATTTTATGTATTTGCCCGCCTCTGATTTTCACATTCAGACTTGACATTGCATTTTTTAAAATTATGTTTTCTTTAGTTATTATTGATTCAGTAGACAGATGTTAGATTCTTCTGAGTTTATAGAAAAGGCAGAAAATCTCAGAGTGGTTTGAGGTTAGCAGCTTGTCAGTTCAAAACAAGCCAAGTTTAAAATATGCGCATGAAAAACTAGAGTGCATCGATTTATCGGCGCGAATTTAATTAATTTTGAGATCAGACAAACTTGCGTGTGAAACTGATCTTATCTGCTTCACCAAAGGTCTGAAAATCAGGCACTGTCCTCTTGTGTTTTCCTGGTAGAGAGGTTTGACTGACGGACCGGCCCACCAGGTCATGTCTGCATGTTTGCAGTTAACCATAGCCACTCCACTGCTGCCAACTCAGCAACTTTCTTGTTATATTTAGCAACATTTCAGATGAAAACAAAATGCATTGGCCAAATTGGAATGTGCAGGTGAGACTTTTTAAAGATCGGTAATCAGAACTTGGCTGGACAACTGCAATCGGTGCAGTTTACCTACGATGGCTTGTTTGACACAGTGCAGTGTGAAGGCGAACCAAACCAGCTGAAAATGTAGCAAAAGTTGCAACTTCTGGACTGTGAGGTGAAAACAGCTTTCAGTTGAGCTTTCCCAAATTGTTTTAGGCATTGCGATCAAAGTGTATGTAAACATCTGACTCTGTATGACAGTGAAGAAAACAATGGTGGTTTCATCTGTTTCAATCAAGAAACCCTGTTTGTGCACAGAGGCTAGTGGATCAGTTCTCATTTGTTTAAGCTTACATCCTGGTGTTGAGCTTTCATGCAGATGATGTCAGTGTTTTATCTCCATCATGTTCATCATCTATTAGCTTCATAATAAACATGGCTCTATTTGCCTGGTTGGAAGTTTATGCAAATGATGGTGTCCGGTTTTAACAGTAGTTTGATTTTATTGCAGCCTTTCCAGTTTCAGTGCAGAACGGCTCCCTCCACCAGAAGGACTCTGTGCATGATAATGACTTTGAGCCGTATCTCACTAGCCAGTCCAGTCAGGTAGGAGCTACAGAGGGATATTTTAAAGATCTGTGACACTGAAACGCTTCTGTAGGGCTGGGCGATACGGCTTAAGAATCAAACCTCTGGTTTTTTGACGCCAGATTTCTATTTATTTTTGTTACATTTTATTTTCTCAAGACATAACAGAAAATTGGACAAAAAATATATTTCTATTCCCCTTCTGAGTTGTATGATGGTGTTCAGGGCCAGGTTATGATCTTTTTTTTTTAATAACAATATTGTTGCTGTAATAACAGAATATAGACATATTTTTACCAGAACTTTGAAAAATTAAAGGAAAAATATAATTTTGATGAAAAAAAAAGCTTCTCACGTTTGTTGCATGATCATTTTAAAGTCCTGTTCTATTCAGTCTGATGTGTAAAAAATTAAAAAAAAAATTTTTCTGGGTGATTTTTTTGCCTGAGAAATTATTGTAATAAATTGTAATATTTTCCTTTTGAGATGATTTTCAACTAACATAAAGACAATGACCTAATAATGCAAGTCTCAACGGGTACAACCTTTTAATTTCAAATGTTTAAAATAAGACACAATAATCAAAAACAAGGAAATAAGCAAAACCATGAATGAAATGGACTATAAAAGATCTAAACAAAATTAGTTTAAAAAATTTATGGAAATTGAGCTCACTTTAATTCGTCATGTAATTTAATTACTTATTATGAGAGGCTTAACTTAGACTTTATTCTTGTAATTAAAAAATTAAATCTTAACCTGGCCCTAATATTCTGACCTGAATTCAAAATAAATAGAAGCTGTAAAACAAGATGGCCGCCCCCTCGCGTCACTGAACTATGTTCACTCAGTTAATGGCGAGAAAATAAAATCTTCAAAAACCAAAAATCTGATTAAACTATTAAAATCGACGAATTGCCCAGCCCTGCCCTCTGTTTGGTTTTATCTGATGATTCATCTTGAATCTGTTTTTTCTTGTAGAATAACAGCTATCAGTCCATGACGGACCCCTACCTGTCCAGCTACTATGCCCCCTCCATTGGATTTCCTTACCCTCTTAACGAGGCACCCTGGTCCACCGGAGGCGACCCGCCGATCCCCTACCTGGCCCCGTACGCCCCCCTCAGTAATGGAGATCACCACTTCATGCCCGACACCGTGTTCGGGCAGCCCGGTGGGCTCAGCAGCAGCATTTACCCGCACCGCTTCAATTTTTTCCCAGAGAACCCGGCGTTCTCCGCCTGGGGCACCAGCGGTTCCCAGGGCCAGCAGACTCAGAGCTCAGCCTACGGGGGCAGCTACAGTTACCCTCCCAGCTCCCTAGGGGGCACTCTGGTCCCTGACGGCCAGACCGGTTTCCACAGCGACACCCTGAGCAAAGCCCCAGGCATGAACAGCCTGGAGCAAGGCATGCTGGGCCTGAAAATAGGCGGAGACGTGACAGGAAGTGGCTCGGGCGTGAAGAGCGCGGGCTCCGTGATAGGCGGGGGTGTCGCCACGGGCAACGGTGGCACGCCAGTTGGGATGCCGCCTCAAAAGCCGACGTCGTGGGCGGCGATCGCCAGCAAACCGGCCAAGCAGCAGCAGCAGAAGGCCAAGAACAAGCCTGGAATGCCGCTGGCCGGCGGAGTGCTGCCGCCGCCGCCGCCCATCAAGCACAGCATGGACATCGACACGTGGGATAATAAAGGCGGCGCCGCCAAGATGGCGCCGCCGCTACACCACCAGCACCACCCGTCCCACCTGCACTCCCACACCGCCAGCCTCATCCCTCCGCTGCAGCAGTCCCTGCAGTCCGTCCAGTCCCTCGTTCAGCAGATGACCATGCCGGGACCGCTGCAGTCCTACCAGAACCACAACTCTGCCCCCACACCCCAAACCAGATGGGTGGCGCCACGCAACCGCAACCTCTGCTACAGCGGCGGAAGCCTGGACAGCAGCGGCTCGTCCAACGGTGGTGGCGGTGTAGGTAACGGAGGCATCGCTGGGTTCGTTCCCGCCAATCCTGGATCGGAGTCCCACCCGGTTCTGGAGAAGCTGCGAGCGGCCCACAGCTACAACCCCAAGGACTTTGACTGGAACTTGAAAAATGGCCGCGTGTTCATCATCAAGAGCTACTCCGAGGACGACATCCACCGCTCCATTAAGTACTCCATCTGGTGCAGCACGGAGCACGGCAACAAGCGGCTGGACGCCGCCTACCGGGCCATGACCGCCAAAGGTCCTGTCTACTTGTTGTTCAGCGTCAACGGCAGCGGCCACTTCTGCGGCGTGGCGGAGATGCGCTCCCCTGTGGACTACGGCACCAGCGCCGGAGTCTGGGCACAGGACAAGTGGAAGGGCAAGTTCGACGTGAACTGGCTGTTCGTTAAGGACGTGCCCAACAGCCAGCTGCGCCACATCCGCCTGGAGAACAACGACAACAAGCCGGTCACTAACTCACGGGACACCCAGGAGGTTCCTCTGGAGAAGGCCAAGCAGGTGCTGAAGATCATCGCCCAGTACAAACACACCACCTCCATCTTCGATGACTTCTCCCACTACGAGAAGAAGCAGGAGGAGGAGGACGTCGTCAAAAAGGTAATTATGTGATCCTGACCAGGCCACATACACAGTTCTCATGTGAAGTGTCGCACCGTGAACTCTGGGATTGACTGCCATCTTGACAGTTGCTATGGTGTTACTATGACAACAATAAGCCACAAGATTAGAACTAGATTATCTAATTCCTATCTGATTTATAAACAGCATAAGTACTTTTCTACTGTACTAGCAAAATTAGCTCAGCTAACTTAGCTTTCATGAACACTCTTTGCTTTCACTACGTAGTTAACGATGTCTCATTTGATTGGAGGCAGCCTGTCCTTATTGTCTGATATATTTTCCATTCTGTCTTACGGCTCGATCTCGACAGCAGCCATTTTGTTCATGTGTGCGTCTCTCTCACATTGGTCACATATTTTCATTTCAACTGTGACTCCAAACCACTCTTTTTCTTCTTTTCCTCTTTCTCTCTGTGCTGGTTGTGCTACACACAGACTCGTTGCCATAGCAACTGGCTGACTGACAACAGCTCCACTAATGTATCAGATTTCCACACCAAGAAAAAGGGCACTGCTAGTGATACAATTATGTTTTCAGATTTGTTTAACTTGTGATGAGTGAACGTCTGAACACGGCGGTTGTTGATTAGCTAATCTAAACTCCTGCTCTTCTGATGATCTGTCGGAGTCGGCGTGCAGGTCGTCCTTTTCTTGCGTTTTTGGGACTGAATCTAAACACACAGAATTCTGAAGCACATCTACATGTTAAGGTTGTCAAAGCCAAGCGAGCATAAGTGCTCTGCTTCTCTTTCCTTTGCTTTTTCTTTGTATTAAAACTTTTTCTGACCTGTAAAGTGTGATGTGTAATTGTCTGGTTTGGGGTGTGGGGGCAGTTAGCACCAAAAGCACCAAAGCACTGCATCCTTTTTTCTTTCATCTATCGCGCTTACCTTTAAGATTTAGCACGTCATGTTGACATCGTGACAGCTAAACCCAAAGGTACTGATCGTCGCTGAGGGATCTTGCGGACGTGATGTCATGTTGCAACATGTATATAGATGGAGTATGTATTTAAACATACATTTTTGCCTAATCACAGCACAATTATGGCTCCGACAATTATTAGAATTAGTTGCAATGAATGAATTATTGAAATAATCAAGTAATTAATCATTTTTCTAATAACAAATGTGTTTGTTCTCTGGAAAAAGTTCTATTAAGTATGGTAAAAAAAATTCTGAAATGATTTGTCATGTCCTCACTTATCCCATCTCAAGAAATGAAAGTTTAACAGGTTAAATAAAAATTATTTGAAAGGTCAAATGAAATTTTAAAATTCATGTTTATGTAGTTTTTGCTTTAAAATTTTGAACCGTTGTGTCCACATTTTCTCACTGGTTTTATGTTCTTGTTTTTACTAGAGCTATGAGCCTGTCTCCATACAGAGTCGATCCAGAGTTGATCAGGTAAACTCAGCTTAATCTTGCTCCTCTTTGCTGGGTTTTGGGTAATAGTGAAAGAAAATCATTAAAGTTTCAGTAAAAAATTAAGCTTTAGATAAGTGATCTTTGTTTTTTTTGTTTTTTTTTTCCAAATAAACTGTTTCCAGTGCTTAATCAGTGCTTTCCTAACACCAGTTATACATATTCTGACTCCCAACACCCAGAAAAAGGGAAAATAAAAAAAGGTTTTCTTGCTTGGCTTGGGGGAACGAATCATTTTCCACAGGAGCTGACTGCTGCATTTATGAACAACAAGCAATTAAAGTATGAGCAAATGGTCTAAATGTAGCACAAACCCAATAATTTAACACAAAATGATCTGTAAGGTGTTGGATTAGCAATGAAAAAACATTTTCACTTCATTTTTTATTTATCAGCTGTCACTTAGTGAATTTGGGTAAAATAATCTCTCAGAACTAAACTTTTGCATTACCTCACAAAACCTTTTGTTTTTCCAGGGGACGCAAAAGAAAAAAAATTCAGATTGTGATAAATTTAGGATCAAATATTTACCAGAAGGACTCGCTATAACGCCTGCTGTAGAAAACGTAACTGTATCGAGCTAGTTGTAGCGCCCTCTCTGGTTGAGCTCTGGAACTGCCGCCACCCTTGTGCGGTATCATGTATTTTTGTTAGGCATCACAAAAAGACGGTCGGCAGTATTACACTTTTTCTTTTTACGACAAACTGTCAAGTTTTAACCCTGTAATTATGTACATATGAAATAATTACTTTTGAATTAATTACACTGAAAGGGAAAAATGTCAACAATTGGTTACTTTGTCAACAGGTAATTCTTTTATTCTGCTTAGGACGTAAATTATCTTACTACTTCTCTCATATGACATCCTTTAACACAAGATGTTGACTGTAAGATGTTTGACATCCTGCAAAATTATATGAGCCGTTCAACATTCTGCGTAGGACAATATGTGTGAACATACAACCCATGACCTGTTGGATCGCCAAACATCTACACACAGCTTCAGCAATGATTCGACTTGGGCAGGGGTCTCAAACTCCAGTCCTGGAGGGCCGCTGTCCTGCAACTTTTAGACGTGCCTCTGCTGCACCACATCTGGATAGAGTAATTAGGTCATTAGCAAGGAACTGACCTACACAGGAAGGAGGTAATTAAGCCATTTTATGCCAGTGTTTGGTACCTGAGGCACATCGAAACACTGCAGGACAGCGGGCCTTGAGGACTGGAGTTTGAGACCCTAGGGGTGTTTTGATTTAGGGAACCTTTGTATCCACTATACTGAATTAGTTTTTATTAAGTCAGATTGTTTTTGGGAGCTTGTGTGATGTGAGGGGTTAGCTGCAGGTGCAGGTCAAATACAAGTTCAATTCATACATTGATCCTGTTTATTTGATGTGTGTGTATTAAAGAAAGTTTGTGTGTGACCTTTTTAACTTTTTTCTGCTGTTTAAATGATTTTATAATTCACGGGTCAGAAATGACCCATTAGACAATTGTACACCACAAAAGATACATTTTTCTAATGATGGGGTCAATTTAAGAAAAGTCATACAATTTCAAGTTGGAAAAAGATTTAGGGTATTTTTTCTACAGCTAAACATTCAGTGAGTCACTTTTGACCCGCTAGACAAACAAGGGTGAAACAAGGGATTCAAAAAGATTGGTTTTAAAACCAAATGTAACCGTACATTATTTTTTTCATAATTAGTTAACGAAGCGATCAGTTATGACCTGAAGCTGTTAATATTTGCAGATGTAATCGGCTTTTAAATAATATTTGTGCACTTATACTAGATGGCATTTTGAGTCTCTGATTCTGGGAAATGTTTCAACATATTTTAACTTTGCAGGACTGATTGAAGGTATTCTGTTCTCTTCTGTTTTTTCTAGGACCGTCAGAAGTGAACTGTAGAAGCGAGCCTCTGAAAAGATCGACACTTACATTTGGGCGGACACAATGAAATCAGAATAAAAATCCAGACGTTACAAAAAAAAAGTCAAAAATATAATTGTTTTCTATTTATTAACAACTTTGGCCCGTGTCGAACCTTTTGAGCCACTTTGCTCTGGGTTACTTTGTAACGTGTGCAGGGATGAAACAATATTTCACCATGTAAAGTTATTTTAATAACATCAGTTAACTTTTTTTATCCTTGGAAGTTTACTCAGCTAAGTCAGAAAACAAAATATCTGCACGTCTGACGACAACCTGCTGCTGATATTCAGTGACTGTTCACATCGTGGTTTGTGTGTTGAAGAGATGTTAAGTGCTCGTGTTGGTTAATCTAAATGAGTGGAGAACACTTTAATGACAAAACGTCTGCTATCTGTGTGTGTGGCCAGCTGTGTTTTATATCAACATCAGAAGAAGAAGGAATAAATACCTTCTTGATGCCCATTTTCATTGTAGAAAACTTTTTACTTTAGTGTAAAACTGAAGGTTTCTGTTTGCAGAGATATTTATGTGCAAGGCTGTGGAAAATTAAACCATAAATCTTTACAAATGGCTACAAAAGAATGATCTGGAGTAAGGCTTAGCATAATCGTTTGGGGAATAATGAAGCCTTAATTTTGTTTTCAGCATAGCAAGAGAGGAAAATTTTCATTTTCGGGGAAAGAATTTTCTTTTTGATTAACTTTTCTCTTAAAATCCTATTTACAAATTCTGTGAAATTAATACTGCTTATTAAAGCCAGGTATGCTTTTCTTTCTCTTAACACCATTTTAATCTTGACATTATAAGTTTCCACTCCATTCTCAGAAGCTTTAATGTACCAGAACAGAAACCGCCTCAAAATGTTAAGCTGTAGCATCATTATTCTTCTTCTTATTGACCGATTAATTGTCAAGTATATGGAAACCAAGAGACTAGCCTGTGTGGTAAATGTTTGTAAAATTTTTGTTTATTTTTTCTTTTCTTTTTTTTAACTGCTTGCTGTATTGTGTGTGTATGCAAGAGTGGCAGAAAGCAGGGGAAATCAGAGTTATACTGTATAATGGTATTGGAATATAGAAAATTTATGCAAAATTTTACGTCACCCTTGTATTAAATATCTATTGTATCAGAGGTCACTATCACATTCTTAGATTTGATCATGTTCGTTATTAAAGATATACTTATATGTTGTTTGTGTTGGTTTTATTGGGTAATTTTAAATTATTTGCACTTTATGGCATTGTTGTGTGGACATGGCAATTAAAAACGAGCTTTAAAAATAGGACAATACAACAGAAATATTCATTATTTTCCCAAAGTGGGGAAAATCGGCTGCAGCACTGAGTTATGTAGGCTCACCGAGAAAAAACAAATATTTCAAAATATAACTTTATTTTTAAAGTGCTGAGAGAAAACTTAAAAAATACAAAAACCTAAATATATTACAGTTTAAAAAACAAAATACCAAGAGAAACATTAATAGGTATTAAATTAAGTGTTGTGCACAATTATAACAAAAATACTGAGCAGTTTTGAAAAGTGTTGTACTTGGATCCAAGGGATGAAGGGCGACTGAGAAACAATGACAAATGTCCATGTGTTTTTGCATAAAATTCATCATTTACAATGTATAAAAATTAAAAACAAATGAGCAGTGCCTGCAAAAATTTAACTTCAAATGTGTAAAAAAGTAGAAATATCTGGATTTTTTGTGGTACCAATTGGTCCCGTGCAAGACGACTGCTTTATAATCCACATCAATCAATAGATGTGATCACATTATGACGTCTAACCTTTTTGTAAGTAGATTTTAATATAAAAGTATTTTTCTCCCAATGTATTGGGGACCTCATAAAATCAGTCCTGGGGCCACAAATGGCCCCCGTGCCACATGTTGCACACCCCTATGGCACTAAATTCATGTAGGAAGGAGGTAATAAATCATTTCCTGTCCTTCATGTTTGTCAGTGCAATCAGCAGCAGAATCGCTGGATTTCAGGTGAACAAGCACCAGGTGTTGTGAACCTGCTCGGGTCCAGATCTGAGGCCGCCTGCAGCGCGTGATCCCGCTCTTGGCATTCACCGCGTGCCTTAATTGTATGGCTAATAAATCAAGGTCCGCCGTGAACACGAGGAGCGGCGACCCGGTCCACATCGGCAGGCCGGACCGTTTCATGCTGAAACGTCCCGCCGGTGCGGCCTGCGGTGCTGTCCGGTCCGGCCCGGTACCGGTCCGATCTGCGGCGGAAGCTGCATTTAAATGCCAAAATATACGACGGCATCAAAACATGAATCAGCTGCGCCTCTCCGGTGGAGAAATCCAGGATCAGACGATGGATGTGAAGAAGAAAAAAGGCCGGACAGCCTGTCGGTGTGACGAAGCGCTCCGCTGATTCCCAGTCAGTTCTCCCAGTCACACCAATAATAATGATCAACAAAAATAAACGGCTTGTTACGGTCCAGTTTGACCATTAAATGATATTAAGCATTTTGCAACATGAACGACCGACACTGGCCTGCCCGCACAGCTGAAGCGGTGACGTCATGACGTGCGTCCAGCCGTCATGAAAAAAAATAATAACAACAACGCTGGCCTGAGCAGCGCTGACCAGGGTCCTGAAACCAGATCTGACCAGAACTCCAACAACAATACCAGTGAAGAAACATCAGCCCAGACGCCGCGTGCCCCACAGCACGTTTCATGTTGTCCAAAGGGCGGCACGGGGGCCATTTGTGGCCCTCGAAGTGATTTTGTCTGGTCCGCCGACTGCAGCTCAAAAATGCTGGCACGAATTTGGCCCATTCAGTGAAGAGCACATTTCACACCAAAAACTCAGGAATGTTGAGATTAATCTGATATTTTGTAGAAAATTTCAACTTTTGGAAATGTTTCAAAAGTTGAAAATTTTATTTAAAAAAAAAAGAAAATTTGAGATTAATCTGAAAAAAAAACAAACATGGAATTGTTTGAGTTTCAAAAGTTAAAAAATTGCCTGAAAAAATTCAGGAACTTTGAGATGAATCTGCAGCGTCCAGGTTGAAAAGATATATAAATAAAATACCATTAATAACTCAAGCAGTGTTGTTCTAACATTTTATATGAATCTTTTACCCCATGTGCTGCAACTATATTTTACAAAACATGTATTTATTAAACGCTAACATTCCTGTACCACGTATTTTAAATGTTGACGGTTGACCAAAGAATATTAGCACCATCTAGTGACTAAATACAACCATCACACCCAGTGGCGAACTTCACATCCCGCAGGAAAACTAAACATATATTTACACATTAAAACACTCACCGTGTTCCCTCATCAACCAAGCGCCAACTAACCGACAGACTGAACATCTTTACTCCGACCGGCGCCTCTCTCTGACCGAGCAGTTAATTGTCAGTTAATTGTCAGTTGGCGAAGCTTTCCGTTTCAAGCCCTTTCAAAATAAAAGCATCGACTTTCATCTCAACAGATATGAGGAAACAAAATACTAATAAGGTCATTTACAGAATCTAAAACAAAATTCTAGAAAAATTGTGAAAATCTTTGAGTTTCAGACATTTAAAATAATGTCAGTTTTTGGAAATGTTCTGAGTTTCAAAAGTAGAAAATGTACTAGAACTATAGAGATCTTGAAATTGATCTCAAGAGTTTTTTTCTAGAAAACACATGGAGATACCAGAGATTCAACAGTTTAAATTTTTTTACTTTTGGACATTTTCTGTGTTTCAATTTTTGCTAGAAAAATTCAGATATTTTTAGATTAATTGTAGAAATTCTCTAGAACAAACATGCAGATTTCTGAGCAACAAAAGTTGAACATTTTGACTTCTGAAAATTCAAATATTTTCTTTTTTTTGTTTGTTTGTAGAAAATTCCATGATCATTGCATTATTTATCACTCATATAGTTGTTGATGAATGAGGTGTTAATATTTTACTTTTACTGTATTGTTTCGGTTATGATGCGTATTATGCAAATACATACGGGCCAGTTGATATGTTAATTATTCTGCACCCTTACAACTGACACATAATCAGTGGAGAGACAGAATATAAAGGCTGTTTGAATAAACTTTGACACAAAACCTCCAAAAATCCTAGGCAGAAAAAAAAAAATCAAGCAACACATGAAATAAAGTTATTTCTAAAAATGTCTGAGTTTACTTCACTATAAAAACATGGCAGTTAAAGATAAACAAGGCCCCCGTTCAGCTGAAGTTGTAAAAGCCCAGGGATTCATGAAATAAATATCACCTTAATAAATGTGAAGTTTTATAGAGTTTAATAAATAAATCCTTAAATATTCTTTTGTTAGTTATATTAAGTATCTTCAGACACACCTGACATGTTTTGACATCAGGTGTGTCTGAAGATACTCAAAATAACTAACAAAAGAATATTTTAGATTTTATAACATAGACAGGATGAGTTTTGTTGATAAAATCCTAATCCTATTATGCAGTCAGGTTATTCCAGGATTACAAGTTATTTGTTGGTGCATCCAGGTTTGGATGAGATCACTGGGTCAGTGTTATGATTAACAGGAAGAGGATTTAAAAATAAAAGCCATTTATGTATAATACTGAAAACAAAAGAATAAACAGCAAAAACTAAAGTGTAACTGGAATCAAATGCAAATTATCTGAAAAAGTATCCAGTAGCAGTCAGTCTCGCAGCAAATCTGAAGAGGTCTCTGACTGAAGACACTGCTGCTGACTGTCAGGACATGATAACATCTCAATTTTTGAACAGCAGAGGAAATATTTCACAGCAACAAGTCGATGTTGGTAAGACTGATAATCCTCCTCGTTTGCTTTTGCCGTTTTCTTTAAATCTTTTTAGCCATTTGAGTAGAAAGTTGAGCAGAGAGATGTTGAAGTGGAGAACATAATCCTCCTCTCTGCATCCATGAAGCCTCCAGCCTTTCCCACTGCTGTGGAATCTGGAATCGTAGTTCTGGATTTATTTCAGCTTTCGACATGTAAATGGTTCAGTTTGCATTAGTTGAGGTCCACACAGGCAGTAACCAAGGCACCCAAGAGTCACGTAAAACAGGGAATGCTTCTTAAAGGGCCGGTCGCATCATGGAAAATCAACTTTTCCAGCTTTTTATCAGGATATAAAGTTTATCCGTCATCAAAAAAAAAAAATACTTGGGAGTGTTTTTTTATTCTTTCATGCAGATTTAAGAAATCCTTTAATCTCCATGGTAACCATTCAGCTGTGCAAAACGGACCTAGCTTTACCTTCGAGATGTAGCTCCTTCAAACTAGCCAGTGGCAATTAGCAAACACCTAGTGGAACTGCACATGCTATAGCTCACTATAGCAGCTACGACTCAGTGCAACGCTGGTAAAAAAACGTTACTGAGAGGTTCATAGATGACGAGATGACTTCCTGAAGGCGGAGTTTCACAAAGAGCGGGAGTTCTTAAAGAGACAGAGGCCCAAACTTTTAAAAAACTTTTAGAAAAGATTCTGTCTCAAACTTGCACATATTAAAATTCTATTTGATTGCATGTCCTCATTTGTTTTACTGTTTTATTATTCCTACATTAACAATGTTTATTTTGTTTATTGTAAAAAGTGTGCAGGTTGATCTCATCAGGTTGAATAAATAAACTTTAATAAAGTAACACAGACTGCTACAGGAGACAATTCCTGCCCACAGCCATCACCAGCTGTGACAACTACTTGAAGAAACTTAATTTATACAAGTTACATTTAATTTCTCTTTGTGATTAATAAAGTTTCTTTTTTACTAAATTAAATATTTTCAGAAAGACTTTCCAGCTTGTGCTTTAATTTTGAAACAATGAACAACTTTAATATTAAACGTTCTCTTGTGAAAATACAACTTTCTTAAATAAATAATATTTTTAATATTTGTGCAGGACAAAAAATATTCAGAAAGTTTCTTCATTTCAGGATGTTTAGACTTGATTGATGAGAAAATATAGAGAGCTTTGATGAACGCTAGTATTTTTCTACACATCTGCCTTATCAAAATAAAAATGTCATAATCTAACTTAAATAAGTGAGGAGGATTTAAACCACGATGAGCTGGCTGTTCCCCTGCAGGTCGACACGTCGAGCGTCTCCAAAGACGAGGAAGACGCCGAGGCCGGTGGCGTTTACCAACGTGACGAGGGAGAAGACGACGGACCACGACAAGGTGACCTCGATCAGGTAACCCGAGAACGACACCAGAACCAGACCTGCTCGACAGACAGCAGGCAGAACTCAGAAACAAAACATTCACAGCCGACATCTGGAAGAGCTCAGGTTTAAATACTCACCCATAAAGGCTCCCATCATGTTCATAAACCCTGAGGCACAGAGAGGGAAGTAAACAGTTTTATTTATTTTATTCATTTAGTTTCAAATGAACATGTAAACAAAAGGTTTTTAATGAAAAAGAGTAGCTGGAAGAAAAAAATTTCACCACATTTGCAATGACAAACACATATAAGCTGCATTTCCATTACAAACATATGCAAAACGTTGATGTTCTGCTAAAGTTGGAGGAGGGGGAGTTTTGCAATTGCAGTGTTAATTTATTAAAAAACATCCAGCGCCATCATCCTTCCTGCCATCGTCGTTTTTCATCAACAGTAACATCCAGATGTTTATCATGTGCCGCAACAAAAGGGTTTCTATTTTCACAAAACACACTAATTACAATACAATAAAAATAAAAATCTTCATCCTACCATCCTACAGTTTCCTAAAAACTTTAGAGTTTTTAGGAAATGGCCATGTTTTCATTAAGGCAATTTATCTTCAAAATGTCAAATTATGAAACTTTAAAGGTACAAACACAAAACAGAAAAGCTAAGCCAAATTAATGAGCTAAAATAAGACAATAAAAGCTAAGATAAACTAAGTTAATATAAGCCAAGATAGCTAGAAGGCATGTTTGTATGAGTCAATATCCTTCATATTCATTGACAAAATATTATATGTTGTATAGATTGATTTTCTCCCTTTGATATTTGTGCAACAATCTGCCTAAAGAAACCAACCAATAAAGGAAAAGGAAGTGTTAAAACGGAGCCTCACCGTAGAGCGCTCCAGCACATGACGGGGTGAGATCCTGCACATTCACAGACACACCTCTGAAACAAATACATGAGCTTGTTTAAGTCAAAAACTCCTTAATATTGATTGTAAAAAGTTATTTCTCTTTGTCCAACGTACCCTCCGGTGAAGGTGGTGAAACCGATGGCAGCAGAAATGAAGACGACAGCAGATGTGAAGGAGACGGATCCAGATAGAGGCAGAATAAACATGCTGGACAGACCCATGGCACCAAACTGCAGACACACACAGATATACACTTTGTCCAAATTCCTTCCTGGGTTTTAAAACACAGCTGTGGTAAAAACGATAAGAGCCACTGCACTGAATCCCACTGAAAACCTCCTGGATATTCCACCAAATATTGATTTGCTGGAATAAAATGATCATTAAAAGATCATTAACTTGTTTTCTTTGCATTAATTGAAGTCTGAAAACGCTGCATCTTTTTTGTTATTTGGACAGTTTCTCATTTTCTGCAAATAAGTACCAAATTTCTGCTTGTAATTTCAGAGACATGTTGTCAATAGTTCATAGAATAAAGTAACACTGTTCCTTTTAATAAAACATATACAAAACATATATTTTACTAGTAAAATAAGATAAAATGATCATTGTCTTAATTTTTTTCAGAGCTGTAATTCATAGGAAAAACCACAAAACAACCTAAAGGACAGAAGTTTGATGATAAGTCAAACTTAAATCATAAAAAGTACCGGCTATTGCCTACACTGGTTCTGTATTACTTGGCATCGGATCAATACCAAAATAAGCAGCATCTCAAACCTCTAACATAAAATGAAATAAAATAAAATTTGATCTCTCTATTTTTAATTCATTCTGGAACTAAACACAAACCCATTTCAGTTTCATAAAACATGAAAAGATTGCAGTAATTTCTACACTTACTTGCATTACTTTTCTCACAGATGCAACTCTGTATCCTGCAGAAAAAGAAAAACCTGCAAATTTGATTTCCTCAAAAGACTGACAACTTTAGGATTGACCGCATATTTTTGCTTTCGTACCTTTTGTGATGAGAAAATCCGACACAAATCCTCCACCAAGACCTGATGGGATCGCTATTAACCAGGGAACCACATTATACACCCAAGGCTGCAAAACATACCAGCAGATACTGAGATTAATCAAGAGCAGATTCATTTGATGCCTTCAGTGAAGTTGTGCAGGAGTTACGGTTGCGTGTGGAAACGATTCCTTGAAGAACATCGGCAGCCATGACAGCAGCGTGTAGAACGTGCTGCAGGTGCACATGTGAGCAAACACCATGGCCCTGAGAGAGAAAACGACCCAGAGTGAAGAGAA